AAAAAGAGAGAGAGAGAGGTAAGATATATTGACCTGATACTTGTCCCTTTGTCACTTGTCTCCTCTGTGAGATTCCTGGCATAGACTCAATGGCTTGCTCCCTGTGGACCCCCATTCTGATGGGAAATACAAAGTTACTGGTTCTAAGTTGTTTCCACCCTAGAGTCCTATGATTGAGCAGGGGTGGAATGGGAGAGTTTAGAGCTCCATGTTTGTTGAAGGCTGATCATTAACAGCCGTTGGGTACTGCGTCAAATGCAGATGCCATTTAATTTCATCTTCCCCAGTAGACGGTTGGCTGTTGAGGATAAACATCTCCTTGCCTGCTACCACTACATAATTAAGGATCAGCTCAGTAATTTTCTTTTTAACCAGGGATTGATCCCAGGGGTGTGTAACCACTGAGCAACATCCCAAGCCCCACCCCCCTTTTTAATTTTTAATACCTTTATTTTGTTTATTTTTATATGGTGCTGAGGACAGAACCCAGTGCCTCACATGTGCGAGGCAAGTGCTCTACCGCTGAACCATAACCCCAGCCACCACCCCCAATCCCTTTTTGTATTTTATTTAGACAGGGTCTTGCTGCTTAAGGCTTCACTAAGTTGCTGAGGCTGGCTTTGAACTTGGATCCTCCTGCCTCAGCCTCTAAGCTGCTGGGATTATAGGCGTGTGCCACCGTGCCCAGCAGCTCAGTAACTTTTCATCAAACAAATTGAGTCCTTATGTCAAACAACCCTTCCATGTTGGCATTATTTGCCCCAATTTACAGATAAGACTGAGGCCCATGTTGCTTAAAATGTTGTCCAAGACAAGAAGTGTATGTGGCCTTGGGTCTGGACATTGTGCCCTGTCTGATCCCAGAGTCCACACTCTGCTGCACGGCAAGGGCTAAGAGCCTCCTCCCTGAGAGGTGATGGGTTGAATTTTTTTTTTTTAATCATTTTCCAAAAAGTTTGCATTCCATCTGTGTTTGAAAACAGGCTCTAGTCAAATCTAATTAGTCATTTACCCAGAGGTAATTATTTTCATTTTATATAACTTTTAGTCCTATTTTGAGATTTTATTTATGAAGCAGTGCTAAATGCTTGGGAGAACTGAAGTGAGCTCAAAAGTTAACTTTCCATCCACCAACATGTATTAAATGCCTAATGTATGGCAGATTCTGAGTCCTGTCCTTGAGGAGCTTATAGTCTAACAGGGAAAACTTCACCTTTTTTTCCTTTAAAATTTTTATGAAGTTGAAACATGTTGACTAGAGAATATTTGGAAAGTCCAGGTAAGAAAGGAAAGGGGAAAAGTCACCCAAAATTCAGATAATGTTTTATAAATCCTGGGAGCAGGGTCTGTGTCTTAGTATTTCTGTTTCCGCAAAACTGTTTACAGGTCTTAGAGCAGAACAGTCAATGTGAGTTCTGTGTGTGTGTGTATGTGTGTGTGTTTACACATAAACACTTATATACATACATGTATAAATATATGTATATATGTATAGTCATACATATGTATGTGTGTGTATATATGAATATTTGCAGTACTGGGGATTGAGCTCAGGGGCACTTTACCACTGAGCTACATCGTTGGTCCTTTTTTTATTTTGAAACAGTGTCTCACTAAGTTGCTAAAACTAGCCTCAAACTTGTGATCCTTCTGCATCAGCCTCCTGAGTAGCTGGAATTACAGGCATGTGCCACGTGCCTGGCCAGTCAATATTTTTTGAGTAGAAAGAAAGCTACCCTGAATCCACCAACTGGAGATAACCACTGCTAACATTTAGAAAGTATTCTTAGGCTCAGCTAAGTATGGTGGCACACACTTATAAATCTGCTGCTCTGCAGGCTGAGGCAGGAGAATCACAAGCTCGAGGCCAGCCTCAGCAATTTTGTGAGATCCTATCTCAAAATAAAAGAGGCTGGGGATGTAGCTCAGTGGTAGAGTACCCTGTGTTCAATCCCCAGCACTGGGAATGGGGTGGGGGGAACCATTCTTAGCCTCCTTTTCTTTCACAACAAATGACTCACCTGGATATGATTGCCTAATCCAGGTTGATAAATATATGGTCTCTTTAGTGCCCCCTATAGGTGCTGCAAGTGCTGCTTACCATGTTCATTGATTGTTGACCCATCTGGTCAATTGGAGCAACCTTTTACATCCTTCCCCATGCCATGGCCTAGAATCTTCACACAAAGAGGGGTCTCTTAGGTATGAAAAGAGCAGTAGCTTTTACCAAATGCCCCCAACATGCACCCCCTACCACAGCGCATGAAAGTTTAAGGAGCTGGAAGTTGATTTATCATAGATCAGTTGTTTGGATAGAAGGGAACTCAAACCAGGCTGTGTGTTGATTCATTTGAAAGTTCCTGAAGGATCGTTCAAAACTCCAGATGTCTAGGCCCCACTTGACACCAATTAAAACAGAATCTCTTGGCATGAGGCCCAGACATTGATGTTTTTGTGCTTTTAAAGCTGCCCTGGTCAGGAATTGGGAACCATGGATTTAAAGGAAGGTTGGGCAGTGACCTTTTGAGACTAGCAGAGTGCACGCGGTGGCCAGCAAGGGCACACTTCAACCCCAGAACTTGGCATCACTAGGGTTTTCTGCAGCCCACTTCATGAAAAACTTGAGTGATACAAGTGGGAAATTGGTTTGCAAAGGGAAACCCAAAGAAGTAAATAACATCTGTGTTCCAAAGGGCTTATGTAAGGGAAAGACACAGAGAAACCATGGATGTACACATAAGGCAGGGACAGATGGAGGGAGATAAGTGTGAAGCCTCACTTGGGCTCTTCTGGAAGGCACATGAGTTTTGGGGGCTTCATTATGAAGGAAAGAATTCTCCAAGGTAAACTGTAAGAGATAAGCTTCTTTATCTTAGCAAAAAGAAAATGCTAAGAATAAATTGATCTTGAGAGCCTACAGAATGGGAGAAAATCTTTGCCACCTGAACCTCAGATAGAGCATTAATCTCCAAGATATATTTAAAAACTCAAAAATATTAATACCAAAAAAAAAAAAAACAAGCAAACAACAAATAACCCAATCAGTAAATGAGCAAAGGGACTGAACAGACATTTCACAGAAGAAGAAATATGGAATGGTCAACAAATATATGAAAAGATGTTCATCATCTCTCTCTAGCAATTAGAGAAATGTAAATTAAAACTACACTGAGATTTAATCTCCAGTCAGAATGGCAATTATCAAGAATAAAAATAACAATAAATGTTGGCAAGGATGTGGGGGAAAAGGAACACTCCTACATTACTGGTGGGACTGAAAATTGGTGCAACCACTATGGAGAGCAGTATGGAGATTCCTCAGAAAACTTGAAATGGAGTCACCATTTGACCCAGTTATCCCACTCCTCGGAATATACCCAAAGGACTTAAAATCAGCATACTACAGTGACGTGGCCACATCAATGTTTATAGTAGCTCAATTCACAATAGCTAAGCTATGGAACCAACTCAGGTGCCCATGAATGGATAAAGGAAAAATGTGGTATATGATATACAATGGAACAATACTCAGCCATAAAGAAGAATGAAATTGTGGCATTTGCCAGTAAATGCATGGAACTGGAGACTATCATATTAAGTGAAATAAGCTAATCCCCACAAAACCAAAAACTAAATGTTCTCCCTAATATGTGGATGCTGACACACAATGGGAGTGAGGGAAAGAATAGAAAGTCACTTGCTTAGACTAAGGAGAAAGAAGGGAAGGGAGAGGGGATAGGAATAGGAAAGACAGTAGAATGAGTCGGACATAACTTTCCTATGTTCATATATGAATACACGACCAGTGTAACTCCACATCACGTACAACCCCAAGAATGGGAATTTATACTTCATATATGTATAATACATCAAAATACAATCTACTGAGATGTATAATTAAAAAGAACAAATAAAAATATTCTTAAAAAAATAATTGATCCTTATTTGAACAGGTAAAGTACTTGTTATTTGCCAAGCATTGTGCTGAGCACTTAATATACATGATTTCATTTAATCTTTGTGATAACATTGTACTAGGTACTATTTATCCTCACTTTAGAGTGGAGGAAGTGGAAGGTAGTCAGTGTTAAGTTATGATCGTATAACCACATGAAATGAAACAGGCAACCCCAGCCTCGTGGACTCTAAAGTCAATGCTTCACCATGCCAGGCATTATGACCTGGACCTGTACTTGCATGATTAGAGGTAATACAAAAGATGGGGTCCCCATCCTCTCAAGAAGGGGTAACTTTCCAGAATGGCTAGTCAGCTAGAACATTCTCCCTTCTGTGGAAGATCAGGTTGCCCGAGGCAGGCAGCTTGGTGTATACCAAGAGCTCTAGCAGTTTCTCCCCCAACGTGGGACTAGCAAGTTACTCAGTGAGCCATTTGCTCAGGCATCGCAAAGGGTCAGAAGGGTTAAGTCAGTTGTTTTCAGGTTGCCCTGTGGAGGCCTGTGCTGTTAAGAGGCTGTTCTGGGACAGGGTGGGCAGACTGGGCCTCTCTTTTCCCCTTCAACCAGAGAAGATCTGCATTTAGCTGCTTGGAGGGAAGTTCCCCCCTGCTTGGAGGTTGGGAGGGGTAGAGGGAGGACCTTTGCAAGGAAATCACTTGAGTGAGTTCATTTCAGTGATCCGTGCAGCTTGACAGGTCTTAGGTACTCTGTTTTTGAAACTTTGCTGGAAGAATCGGTACCTTGATTGCCTCAGCAAATACTGAAGGGAGGAAGGCCACTGAGGAGCGGGCAGCTAGCCAAATTCCAAATGACCATAAACCTGCCTGGCCAACCCAATTACCAGGGGAGTAGCATAAGTGCCCTCATTGTTGAGGAGGGGTCTGTTACTGTGACAGCAGTACATCATAGCAAGGGACAGGCTAGGCTCCAGGCTGCATCTCCCTGAATGGTAACTTTCTTTTTAACTTTCTAGAGTAAAAAGTCTCTTGTCCTCTCTCTGTAGTTTAGGATTCAAGCAATTTTCTATTTCTTTGTGTTTTTCAGATCTTAAATCCAAATTTCATCCAAGAAGGTGAGTTAAAAAGGGGTGGAGTTGAGAATGTGGGGATTAGCCAAATTAAGTATGGGACATCAAGCATAAGGTAAAGACACATGTGCATGATGGCACATGCCTGTGATCTCAGCAATTTGGGAAGCTGAGGCAAGAGGATTTCAAGTTTAAGGACAGCCTCAGTAACTTAGTGAGACCCTGTCTCAAGATAAAAAATAAAAAGGATTGGGGGGTGTAGCTTAGAGGCTAAACCCCAAATAAGGTAGAGACTTTAAGCAATAGTGACATGATTCTGTATTCATGGAAATTTTTATGATAAATTATTAAGTGAAAATAACTTGCAATAAAAAATATGAAATAAATTTTGGTAAAAATATTTTTATTGAAAGCCTGAAAGAATATATGACAGGGGGCTGGGGTTGTGGCTCAGCAGTAGAGCGCTTGCCTAGCACATGTAGGGCACTGGGTTCAATTTTCAGCACAACATAAAAATAAAATAAAGGTATTATGTCCAATTACAACTAAAAACAAAATTTTTTTAAAAAAAGAATATATAACAAAACATTCACAACTGTTATCTCTGGATTATGATATCATGAAGCTCCCCACTTTTTGTTTTTATATATTTCCTACCTTTGGGTACTTAAAATACTCTTTAAAGGGACACAGGTGACCTAAAAGTGTTAGACTGCACATTATTTGAATTGGTACACAACATGAGTGGAGTTGAGAGTACTACGTTTAAAAATGCCTGTTTTATTCTAAATTTGTTGTGAATGATGTGAATGTATGTTGATTTGATCACAGTGGCCCCAGAGTTCCTTGTGCCCTTAGTGGATGTGACCTGCTTGCTTGGGGACACAGTGATGCTCCAGTGCAAAGTGTGTGGGCGGCCAAAACCCACCATCACCTGGAAGGGTCCAGACCAGAACATCCTCGACAGTGACAACAGCTCAGCCACATACACCGTCTCCTCCTGGTAAGTGGATGGCCCCAAACTTGACACCTTAGTGAAGCACCCAGAGGCTGAATCAGGGTGCAGCCTCTATTCTGGTTACTAGTCTTTCCAAGATAAGAGCTGCTGTGGAGTCTATTCTAGATCAAACACTTGGCCTTGATTAGGAGGGATTGAGCCAAAACCTATGGGTTAGCTCAGCCCCACTTAATAGAGCACTCGGTGCTGCAAATGTTCAGCCCGGCCCTGCTGCCCACACTACCACCTGCCTCTCAGCCTGGGTCTCTGGGGCTGCGTTGCTCATATTGCTTGGCACCATGTAGACACACCTGGGGCCAACCAGAACCATTTGGAAAGACTGTTCTGGACCCACATTAAACAAATGCTGAAGCAAAGCCACATTGCAGGTCAAGCATGCACCATACATTTAGAAAGCTTCTACATTCCCTGCCTTAGAGTCACCCTATTAGATGATCTGCCCTAAGGATTCTCCGGGTCAGAAGTGGTGAACACTCCTGACCAAGGGACAAGCTAGGAATTAGGAATTATTAGAAATTAGTTATTAGTATTAGGAATGTGGTCCTCAAATCTGGACATCCTGATGAGTTTTGTGCCTTCAGGATGCTTTGAAACAGTGATATAGTTAATTTCTTGCCAAAGAAAAATTTTATAAGAAGGGGAAAAAAATCAACCCAACACACAATGCACAATAGAAAATAAGCCACCAGCCTACTTCTACACAAAAAGCCTGTTTTTGTCAGTCAAAACTTAGTCACTACCAGGCTCTGTGGCGCATACCTATAATCCCAGTGGCTCAAGAGGCTGAGGCAGGAGGATCTCGAGTTCAAAGCCAGCCTCAGCAATAGTGAGACCCTAAGCAAATCAGTAAGACCCTGTCTCTAAATAAAATACAAAACAGGGTTGGGGATGTGGCTCAGTGGTTGAGTGCCCCTGAGTTCAATCTGCAGTATCCCCACCCCGCTAAAAAAAAAAAAAAACTTAGTTACTGCCTCCCAATCATTCTGCTAACATTTATTGCTGTTAGCTAGGAGCTTTGTTGTGTTCTCTTGATTACAGTGGACAAGAGAAAGCCCTAACGGCAAGCCCTAATAGCCTAACAATCACTAATGGAAGGAACACCTAGAATCAAGAAACTTTCATTCTTTGACTTCCTTTGTGCACATTTGAAATGGAAAAAGAACACTGTTCCTTAATGTTCCCAGCAGACTCCCAGCAGGTCATAAAACTCCATGAGCTCAAGGAGCTTAGTGCCAGTAGGTGCTTGATGAGGATCATGAAGAACCCAGAATGTCCCAACCCAGGGGGAGGGAGTGGAACTGATGGGGCTTCTGATTTAACCCTTTCAAGTTTCTTCCCTTGGGGTGTTCCTGACCCCAAGGGGAGAAGAGTTATCTTTTAGGTGGAAAAAATTTACCTTTTTAATTCACTTAGTTATTTTGAGGGTCCCACTGGTAGGATTTTAAATATTTGAACATTTTCATTATTTAGTCTTTCCATTTTCTCATGCCACTCATTATTCATCTGTGAGATTGAAGTTATTTTTAGGACAAAGTTGCCAGTGGATATACTAATTATATTGCAGACAGGTACTTGGAAGGGACTTTGTGTATTTCTTTCTTTTCTTTTTTTTTTTTCTGGTTCTCACTAAGTTCCTGAGCTAACTTTGAATTTGCCAGCCTCCTTCCCCAGCCTCCCAAGTTGCTGGGATTACAGGCATGCGCCACTGAGTCCAGCCAGACTTTATGTATATCAAGCCATGTTTTAATTTCTTCTTATTTCATTCCTTATTTTATCCCTCACAATAAATTTGGGAGATGGGCCTGGCCATATAAGGAAATGAGGATAGAGGCAAGGTGATCCTTCAAGGTGTGTAGAAAGGTCACAGAACAGGTCTAGACCTTGGGCCTACAGACTCTCGGGTCAGCACACCATGTGCCAACCTTATGGATTTTACCCATCAGTCAACTGTCTCATTACTGGAGTCTGAAGGACATCCCTTTGGTGTCCCTAGTGATTCTGGGGAAATCACCCTGAAGATCTGCAATCTGATGCCGCAGGACAGTGGGATTTATACCTGCATAGCAACAAATGACCACGGTACTGCATCCACATCTGCCACAGTTAAGGTGCAAGGTACAGTCTTTTTCTTTTATATGTATATATGCTATTTTTAAAAAATATATTTTTAGTTGTAGATGAACATAATACCATTTTTTTTAATGTGGTGCTGAGGATTGAACCCAATGCCTTATGCGTGCCAGGCAAGTGCTCTACCACTGAGCCACCACCCCAGCCCTAGATATGCTTTTTTTAACATGTGTTTTAATTGTAGTAATGCACAACATAACACTTGCTGTCCTAACCATGTTCAGACAGTTCAGTGGTACGAAGTACATTCACATCTTTGTGCGGCCCTCACCGCCATCTCCCCACAAAACTCTTGTCAGCTTCCCAACCTGGAATTCCCTCCTCCCCATTAAACAGGAGCTCCCTGTTCCTCCTTCCCCACAGCACTGGCCACCACCATTCTACTTTATGTCCCTATGAATTTGTGTTAGTCAAACATTTTAAATGAACATGACAAGGACTCCTAAGACCTGAGATCCTGTGTGAAAAAAATTCCAAAACAGAGTTCTAGCCAATGGGGAGAGAACAAGAGCATTTTTCTAAGAACTGTCTGTGCCCTACTATAGCCTCCTGCATAGTTCCAGAAAAAGCTTCACCCCCAGTGTGCAGTATTTTGCCTGAGAAAGAACATCAGAAAGCAGAGGGCGGCTCCCAGGTCTCCCTTGGGTCTAGAAACAGGTATGCTACTTGGTGGAGAAGGTCCCAGGAAACATTTGAGCCAGGTCACATTTCCTGGGTACACTCCATCTGGGTGTGAAATGCAAGCTCAGAAAGCAGCTCTGGATTCTGCTGTCTCCACAGGTGTTCCAGCAGCCCCCAACCGCCCCATTGCCCAGGAGAGGAGCTGCACCTCTGTGATTCTCCGCTGGCTGCCCCCAGCCAGCACAGGAAACTGCACCATTTCGGGTTACACTGTGGAGTACCGGGAGGAAGGTGTGCCACCCCGCTCTTCTTCTGCCTTGGCTCCCTCTCCCAAGGTCCTTCAGGGTTATGAACCTGAGCCACCTCTTCTTTCAGAAACTCTGCTTGTTATGGATTTATAATATTTTCTTCCAGTCTTATTAAGCACTGACCCCATGTTCTGTATAAAGTCAGTACTCTCTATGTCTTTTTGCTCTCACACATTTGAGAAGGAACAGAAATGACCATGAACATTTATTTAATAATTTAAGACACCGGACCCAAACCTGCCACCCATCTTAGTCCACAGGCTTTCAGAGCCTGGAGCAGTGTCCAGAACTATCCCTTGATTTGAATGTGTCCATTTTCCTTTCTTTGTTTGTTGAAAGTCTTTGAAACAATGTGACTTTGGCTTTGTCTCATTCTCTCTCCTTGGAAACTATGCACTAGGTTCCCAGGTCTGGCAACAGTCAGTAGCTTCAACCTTGGACACTTATCTTGTCATTGAAGACCTCAGTCCTGGGTGTCCCTATCAGTTCAGAGTCAGTGCCAGCAACCCCTGGGGAATCAGTCTTCCCAGTGAACCCTCGGAGTTCGTGCGACTTCCAGAGTATGGTGAGTCCCACCAGGCCTACGACCTCTACGTAGTGGAGGCCAGCACCCGGCCCACTCTCCTAGACACACTAGCTGCTCAGTGTCACATCAGCCCATCATGAGAGGGGTGACCCAGAGCTGCTTGGCAGCTTCAGTCAGGTAACCATTTAGAAGATTGATGAAATGTTTGCATGAGGCATGACTGTAGGGATCTTGGAGCAGAGGTTAGCTGCTACCCCTGCTAACCCTGGGCCTACCAGGCTCCCTGCAGGACCAGGTGTATTTCCAGGAACAGAAAGGGACAGGCTGGGGTCATGAGTCATAGGGGTGCTATCTGGTCTTCTTCTGAGAGAAGAATACCAAGCCTGCTATTCCCTGGATACTCTGCCAGGCTGAAACACTTTTCATAGTGCCAGGGACAATCCCACATGCCAACTTAAAGTAAGAAAAAAAAAGCAACCTGGTTGAAGATTTCACTACCAAATGAATGTTTGATACCTGGCCCACCACACTCTACTGGAATTTCTTTATTTAACATGAATATATTTTTATTTTAGATTTATTTAGAAATTATCAAAGATATATATATAAGTAGCCAAACATGAATTTTTTAAAATATTTATTTATTTATTTATTTTTAGTTGTAGATGGATACAATATCTTTATTTATTTTTATGTGGTGCTGAGGACTGAACCCAGTGCCTCACACATGCGAGGCAGGCACTCTACCACTGAGCTACAGCCCCAGCCCAAACATGAATATGTTATAATAATATTTATTTAGTTTACCCACCTTGGTCCCAGGGACATTTTAAAAGAAGAAACTTGCAACCTGAAGAACTCTCCAGAGTGAGATTTCAGGCAGTGCAGGGAGGTGATCTGTATGGTTGGGACAGGAGAGAGTTGAGTGTGTCACTGTACTTAAAGGCAACAACAGGCCTGTGGCTCTTTGGGTTAAGGAAAGTCCAGAGTCCCTCAAGCATCTTGGGCTACACCCTCCCCTGATGAATCTGGAAATCTGTCCGACAGCCCTACCTCAGCCTAGTCAGTTCTCTTCCAGCAACGTTGACTTGTTCCCAGGGACCTGGGACTTGCTGGGAAACCACGGCCTTGGATCTTGGTGTCCTCGGCATTCAATATGAATAAGCTACCTTCTGCCTTGGCCAGGTTGCCTGTGGGCAGCCTGAGGTAACTGCTTGGCTCATCTCCTCCCAAGCCACTAACTCAGCCTGGCTCACAGTGCCCAATGCCTTTCATGTTTTGCTAATTTGGAGTCTTGGATCCCGGCAGACAAATACAGATGGGCATGCATGCACACAAGTGTGCATGAATAATTAGCAGGAAATTAGCACATTATATGTGGTGAAGCTGCTCGAGTTGGCTCAGGCATGTTTGAGTTAAATCATTCAATATACTGGCTAAGCTCATGAAGGCCTGAGGACAGTGGGGTGAGCCAGAGAGGTTTATAGAAGGCCATGGACACACTCCTTTCCTTTTCTCCTTCCCTGACCTTGAAAGCTCCCCCACCCATTCTCTCTTCACATCTCCTTATAGTTCTGGCTCTCACTGACCTTTCCAGGCCTTCAAAGTGTTTTCATCTCTCTATATTTATATTTTCTACTAAATTCCTATTTTAAAACATTCATAAGCTACATTTCTGATTGTCTGAGTTTTCCCCGTTGATTAAGTAGATGACAGAGGGAGTCTGTCATGTCGGTTTCCCCTGGGATATTTTCAAAATAACATTCCAGAGAATTGTAGCATTTTCCCACTGAGGTAGCCTCCATATTTAGTCATGAGAATTGCCTTGGAGTTATGCTGGAGCTCTTCTGCTGACCTTTTCTTTATTCTCATGTGACACCTCAATGTCACAAATGGATTCTCTCCCAAAGATGCGGCCGCAGATGGTGCTACCATTTCTTGGAAGGAAAATTTTGATTCCGCTTATACTGAGCTGAATGAGATTGGAAGGTAAGGACACAGATTTCTGTGAATACCCAGCAACACTATAGCAGAAGGAAGACTTGTTTTGTTGTTGTTGTTTCTTTTATAAATGCATTCTCTCTATAGTAAGAAAACAACTAGAATATTAATGCATATTTTCTACTATTCTTTTTCTTACTTAAATTAGATGCTTCCTTTATCAACTCTCAGCCTTTCCTCTTTTCTTTTTTTAAAGATATTAGATTTATTTCTGCAAATCAAAATATAATACAAACATGCATAAAATAAGCTTTTTTTCTTTTTCTTTTTTTTTTTTTTGGTACCAGGGATTGAACCCAGGGGCACTCAACCACTAAGCCACATTCCCAGCCCTTTTTATTATTTTTATTTTTTTCTCATATTTTTTATTCTAATTTGTTATATATGACAGCAGAATGCATTAGAGTTCATATTACACATATACAGCACAATTTTTCATATCTCTGGTTGTACACAGCCTTTCTTCTTTTCTAATGTAAGAACTTAAGCCTCCAATTTTTCTTTAAAGTACAATTCTAGAGATGTCACAGGAGAAGAGATGTCTCTGAAGAAGGGTCGGAGGAGTTCCCAGAAAAATGGGAAAGTTGACTCAGGGCCAGCTGGGTTCTTGCATACATGACAGAAAAGAATTTCAGCAGGCCCCAGTCAAAGGCATAGACAGAGGTTTATTCAGGAAGCAGATACATATTCAAGGGAGAATGTGGACAATCTTAAGACAGATGCCTTTGGGGTAAAACAGGAAATAACCATTCAAGGGAGAATGTGGGCTGCCTCCAGAGAGAGAAACAGCAACCTGTTGGTATGGGGTGTTAATATTTGGAGGGAGTGGGTGCTAGGGGCTGGGAAGAGGAGAGGGCAGGGTGGAGCCACACAATTTCACACCAGTGCATTTCCCTTATTTCACAAGGACTAGCCTAAGGGCTTGTCACCCAAGATTTACATCTGACTTTCTACTCAATGACTCGTGGGCATTTCCTTTACAACTCAGTACATCTGTCTTTATCCTAGATCCCCATCTCAGTTACATTGCCTGAGTTTTGACAAGTGGCATTTTTCATTATCATTCAGTTTATCTATTTTTCCAACTATGATTTTTTTTCTTGACACTCAATTATAATGGAAAAAATGTTTTAATATGTAGGAGATTTTTAAATTTCCAAGATTTTTTAAAATTATCCTTTTTTCCTGATTTCTGATTATTTCATTGTGGTAAGAGAACTTAGTGTATATGATATTGATTCCTTGATTTTTGTTCAGACGTGTGCTATGTGTAGTACATGGTCAATTTTTGTAAACTGTTTCATGTGTTCTTGAGAGGAATATATGACTAATTATTGAGTATAGATCTCTAAATATGTCCATGTGTCAAGCATATGAATTGTTCTCTGGGTGTTTCTAATCCAAATATACCTCCCCCTTTATACACTCTATATCCCTCTCTCTTTCCCTTTCTCATTTGTTCTCTTGGTTTTTTGGTTAAAGAACATTTAGTATATCCTCAAAAATAAAAAGGATAAAAATATAACTTTAAACAGAATAATGAAAATCTATCACCTGGTCTACAAAATAGCTGCTAGAAAGAAAAAAAAAAAAAAAAAGAAGTCTTCCTTGTGCATACATTGGTCTCAGATAGCCTGGCTGAGAGAATTGTGGGTACATCTTACAAATCTCTACCAACCTCAGCTATATAAATAAAAGAGCACCAAGGAACAATGGAGCATCGGTCTCACCTCTACCTCTGATGTCACTCCCTGAAGCATGGATGGTACTAACTGAGTGGTTGTGAGAGGCTGTGTTGTTTCTGATTCTTAGACCAAGTCACAGTGGAATTTGAATCCTTTCCTTATAGTATCTTTCATCAAAGACAAACTCTAGGTCTGCTTTCTTTTCTTCTTTGTGTAACCAAAAGAAGAAACAAGAGCCAAAGGAAATTTATATGCTGCTGCTGCTGCCTCTCTCCAAATACCTATAGTGTTCTGAATACAATGTAGATATTACCAAATCTAATGTGTAGAGCAGGTGAGGTAGTGTCTAAGTGGACTTCTAATAAAGGAAATTTGGGCTCAAGGAGGATCAGCAACTTCCTCAGGGTCCCATGACTAGGAAGCACATGGAGCCAGTCGGCCACTGGGCTCCCTGTCTATTGTCCTGTGCTTGTTTCACTAGCACATTTACAACACATGGTTCTCATCATAGCAATTATTGTTTGTTTTTTTAATCTCTAGTCATTGAAATCGAGCTTGCTCTTCTATGTTGAAAATAGATCTGACCCCAGTAATGAGCAAATCAACCCCCCCAGCTTGTTCTAACTGTAATTGGTTCCAGCACCTGGATGCCCTGGTTAATTCTTCCCTAAGACACATATTTGCTATTGATAGCCATAGGCTTAGGATTTTTTTAAAACCTAAAATGGATGTTTTGATATTTCTTAGAAGGAAGATCAATTTCCTGATCTGTTTAGTTTGTTTTAATCCCCAACAGCCTGAAACTTTTTCTCTCTTCTAAATATAGTCCTCATATTTTCAGAAGATCCTTTCAAAATGTACTAAACGGAATGGAAATAAAAACATGGAGATTCTTACATGAGACACATGAAAGATATCTGTGCCAGGGCCATAGAAGTGAGCTGATTTTCTCATCATATCTGACCCTAGAATTCTGGGCTAATGTGACTGTCCTGTTAAAAAGAGCTCCCCAGTAATTAAATAGTATAAAAATCATGGTGAAAAAAAAAAATCACTTCTACAGCAAACCCATAGAAGGAAAGAGCACTTGAACATGGCATATTTAAGCAAAAATAAGCTACACAGGTGCCCTTGCAGTTTGAGGAAGCCTGGTGGGCATCATAGGAATGCTGACCAACTGCCTGCAGCAGTACTGGACCTCCAGGTAAGGGTGTCAGGGGAAACACAGACATTCACAAACACTGAGATTCAGGAAAACAACAATACAAGAATCTTTTTAAACATACACATTAGATAAAGAGTCAACAATAAAACATTAGAAGCAGAAAAACCAAAGAAAGAGTGACACGGGACCTATGAGACCTGAGAATGCTCAATCTGTGTCAGTTGCGGGGGTCAAATGAGAGCCAGTATGACTTTGCAGCAGAATTCCCCAAGGCTCAGGCCTCGGCAGCACTGAGCATTTCTGGAAGTAGGTATAAAGAGAATGCTAAATTGGAAGGGCTGCCTGGAAGTCCCTGTCACTCAGGAGAGAGTGACAACAGATGCCTGTGTTAGCCTGCCATGCCTACCTGCAGGCCTTCTGGGATCCTGTCCAGGCAGGTGTAGGTCCTGGCTACAGCCTCCCCAGCTGCAGACACCTGCACCACCCAGGAAAGACTGGAGTTTTATATTCTAGGAGGGTAAGACAGCAGGCCCAGAAAAGGCAGTGGAATCACACTAAAAATAGAGACACTGTGACAACATGCATGCTGGAGGCTGAGAACCCCATTCATATCTGCAGGGCCTCCAGCAGTAGCTCACCAGGCCTCCCCACTCTGGGCAGAAGAGGGGAAGCTCTTTCAGTGGAGAATCTGCTCAGTCACAGATTGAAGACACTGATTGAAGACACTGATCCTGGAGCCTTTTCCAATTTCATAGCAGACAGATCACCCTACAGTAAAGGTCACCAGACTCCACCTACATGCTCAGAGCTTCCAAATGACTTATTGGTCCAGGACTTTTAAAAGGAGCCAACTCCCAATGCCAGCCAAGATGGAGTAAGCCCACTGTAGCCTTTATCTCCCCATGGATGACAGCTGGAGTCACTGGACACATTACAAAAGCCGTTACCCAAGAATTCTGGTAAAAGTAAACAGCAGGGAAATTACAGAGGGAACTTAAAACTTAAAAACAGTGACAGTGGGAGTGAGTCTGTCTTGCTCTCTCCTTTTTTTTTTTTCTGAAGATGTTAGAAAATTTATTTATAATATTTTTGTTCTTTAAAAATAAACAATATTTTTTGTTTAAGAGTGATGGAAAGTAGCAGATTTATAATTAAGTATTGACAGCTTCTAGATATATTTATTTATTTATTTAATTTTTTTTAACCCGGGGCACTTAACCACCAAGCCACATGCCCAGCCATTTTTTAGGTGGGTGGGTGGTACCAGGGCTTGAACTCAGGGACACTCGACCACAGAGTCACATCCCCAGCCCTATTTTGTATTTTTCTTAGAGACAGAGTCTCAATGAGTTGCTTAGCTCCTCATTTTTGCTAAGGCTGGCTTTGAAGTCGTGATCCTCCTGCCTCAGCCTCCCCAGCTGTTGGGATTACAGGCGTGCGTTGTGCATCACTGTGTCCGGCTCTCTTCTTTCTCCTTTCTCTCCCTACCTTTGACCATAAGGGCAGGCCAAATCAGAGAAGTGTGCAGCAGGCACAGAGAACAAAAGCACCAAGAAAAGCCCACATTCTGGCCAAAGCAAAGGGAAAAGGGATCCTTTGAGCTGAAGCGGGCAGAGGAATGCCTGGTCTTTTCCCCTTCACCCCAGGGCCGGCTGGCCCTGTGAAACTGTGTGATTATGCAGGAAGCTTAAACTCTGAGGGAATCCCATCGCTCTGGCCAGATAACCACAAAAACAGGCCCCTGTGAGCCAAAGGATGTAGGGGAAATACCACTGAGGAGAAAGAAGAGAGGAACCCCCTTATTCTGCATATGAAACAGCACAAATCCTGGGCTACAGCCAAGCCATGCCAGTACAGAGCACACCCAAAGAAGTACAGCAAGGTTTTGAGAACTAATAATAAAGACATAAACCACAGCTCATTACCCTGCAGTGATGAATTAGTCACAGGCTGATCTTTGAGTGGTGCCCATGAGAGACAGATCCAAATGGCATAGCAAATACTTTGAAAACTGAACTGACAATAGAACTGCATCCCACGGAAGGTGAGACGGAACCTGCAGTGTGGACCTACCCAAGTTCATTGCTGATTAAACATTACAAATAAACAAAAAGCATTCTCCAGAGGATTTTATAGGGTCCAGATTCTCACAGGATAATGCCATAAAAGTTCAAGATCTAATCTAAAATTATTCAACAGAACAAAAATCTGAAAAATTCTCAAGGGAAAATAATAATGAACAGATGCCAACTCTGAGAGGACCCAGCTGTTGGAATGATCAGAGTTTAAAGCCACTGTTTTACCCATCTTCAGTGAGATAAAGGTGAACACTCTTGAAATTGAATAATGCAAAGATAGGAGTCATTGGTAGAGAAGTGGAGATTATTTTTAATGGAAGTTATATAAGTAAAAAAGTGCAATATCTGAAATTTTAAAATTCACTAAATGAGTTCCACAGCAGGAATGAGATAGAGTCAATGAAACTGAAGAAAAATATAAATCATCCAACCTGAAGAACAGAGAGAAAAATATTTTTTTAATATTAAACACAATTGCAAGGATCTATGGGAAAAATGCCCAAAGATCTAAAGTTCACTTTATCAGAACCCCTGAGGGAGAGGAGAAGGTAATTTGTGCAGGTAAAAGATTTTGAAGAAATAATAGCTGAAAATATTTCAATGTGGTAAAAGACACAAATTTATAAAGAAGCTCAGTGAACCCTAAACAGGATAAACTCAACGAAAAGCATGGCCAGACACATTATAATCAAACTGCTGAAAATCAATATAAAGAAAAATATTGAAAGCAGAAGAGAAAAAATAACATAATAACATTTAGGGGAACAGTGACTTGAACAGATTCCTCATCAGAATCCATGGATGTTGGATGGTAGCAGAACCATATCTCCTAGTGCTGAAAGAAAAACCAGACAACCAAGAATTTTTAATCTAGCCAAAATATTCTTCAAAAGTGAAGATATAGTAAATGAGTCAACGGTTAAGAAATAGATAAAAGGGGGCTGGGGATGTGGCTCAAGCGGTAGCGCGCTCACCTGGCATGCGTGCGGCCCGGGTTCGATCCTCAGCACCACATACAAACAAAGATGTTGTGTCCGCCGAAAACTAAAAAATAAATATTAAAATTCTCTCTCTCTCTCTCTCTCTCTTAAAAAAAATAAAAATAAAATAAAAGGGCTGGGGGTGTAGCTCAGTGGTAGAGCACCCCTGGGTTCAATCCCCCCGAAAGAATGATGAATAAATATTTGTATATCTATAATGAGATACCTTGGGGATTGAACCCAAGTCTAAAGATGAGGATCTTTTCTATTTCATGCACACCTTATCCGTATAGCCTGAAGGTAATTTTATGAAGTTATTTTTAGTGTACCTGCATTTTGACTGTGACCCCAATACATGAAACCAGTTGTGGAATTTTCCAATTGATGTGTCAGCGCTCAAAAGCTTTCAGATGGAACACTTTAGATTTCAGATTTTTTGGATTAGGGATGTTCAACCTGTAAGGTGTTATTGTCTGAGCGCTTCACACACAACTTAACACGTAGATAAAATGACACCTAGTTGATTCATGAATCTTGGAAAACTCTTTCTTCTTCTGTTTTCCAGAGGCCGTTTCTCTATAGTGAAAAAATGCATTCACAAAGCCACCCGCAAAGATGTCGCTGTGAAATTCGTGAGCAAAAAAATGAAGAAGAAGGAGCAGGCTGCCCACGAGGCTGCCCTGCTTCAGCATCTGCAGCACCCCCAGTACGTCACTCTCCATGACACCTATGAGTCCCCCACATCCTACATCCTGATTTTGGAACTGTAAGTATAGATGTTGTCTCTCTGGGTGGTCCCCATCTACTTAGGTTATTTACTGCTCACAATGAATGGAAAAGACAGTCATATTTTACACAGTGTTTTATAGTATGTAACATGCGCTCATTCCATTTTATATAAATGCTATTCATATTCTGGAGATTAGAAAATCAAGGATAAGGGCTGGGGATGTGGCTCAAGTGGTAGCGTGCTCACCTAGCACCACATAAATGTAAAGTAAAGATATTGTGTCCACCTAAAAAAAAAAAGAAAGAAAGAAATATTTTTAAAAAAAAGAAAAAAAGGAAATCAAGGATAAGAAAACTAGCTCTTTAAAACTATGAAGTGGAGAAACTGGACTTCAACACATATATGTCTCACTCAGTTTTCTTTTTTTCTGTTTTTAGTTTTATTTTTTTCCAGATCTTTTTATTGGTACTTTATAATCATACATAATAGTGGGATTCATATTCATAGTCATACATGCACACAACATAACAATGTAACCTGGTCAATATCATTCCCCAGTATTTCCCATTTCCTTATCCTTCTCACTCCCCTGTTACTCTAATGATCTCCCTTCAATTCTCTTGAGACCCCCATACCCCACACCTGTCCTCTCTTGCTTCCATATGTGAGAGAAACATAGGACCCTGGACTTCCTGAGTTTGGCTGACTTGTTCTAAATATAATTCTCTCAAGTTCCATCCATTTTCCTGCAAATGACTTAATTTCATTCTTCTTTATGGCTGAATAAAACTCCATTGTGTATAGATACCATATTTTCTTTATCCATTCATCCACTGACAGATGCTTGGGCTGGTTCCATAATTTGGCTATTGTGACTTTTGCTGTTGTAAACGTGAGTGTGTGTGTATTGCTATAGTATGATCACTTTAATTCTTTAGGATTAACACCAAGGAGTGGTATAGCTGGATCATATGGTGGTTCCATTCCTAGTTTTTTTGAGGAAACTTCATACTGATTTCCATAGTAGTTGTACTAATTTCCAATCCCACAAAAATTGTAAAAATGTTCCTTTTCCATCCACATCCTCTCCAGCATTATTATTGTTTGCATTCTTGATGGCTGCCATTCTAACTAGAGTGAGATGAACCTTCAGTGTAATTTTGATTTGCATTTTCCTAATTGCTAATGATATTGAACATTTTTTTCATGTTTGTTGACCCTTTGTACTTCTTGTTTTGAGAAGTATCTCTTTAATTCATTTGCCCATTAATTATCATTTGTGGTGCTTAGTTTTTAAAGTTCTTTATGTATTCTGGATATTTATCCTCTTATTCTGTAGATTCTCTCTTCATATTGTTTTTTCCTTTGCTGTGCAGAAGTTTTAAATTTGATGCCATCCCATTTATTAACTCTTTTTTTTACAAAGTAAACTATGATTTTATTGTGAAATTCTCATAGATAGAAAATTAAACTGAATATTTATTCTCTCCATTTCATTTTTACAATAATATTACCACTTATTTTTGTACCATGCATTTCAACTGCCTGTTTAGTGAAAAATTTAAAAAAAAAACTAGAATTTTTGGCTTGTTTTTAACTTAAATTTTCTCATTAAAGACCCCACAATAAAATGTGTTCCTAATAGCCACATCCCAAGCCCCTTTGTGAAGAATGTTTTGGCTGCTTTACCCTAAAGAAACAATCCTTGACTTCTGTCATCTTAAAATGGTAGTGTCAGCCAAAGACTCATTTCCCACAATATATATTTTTTAAAAAGCCCTAGGACCTTGAAGGAACTATTTAACAAAATTTTCACACATGTAAAATTTCACTGAAAATAATTATATTTCTCTTATTTGTAATTCCCACACGGCATGTATGTTTTCAGTTAATTTTTAGGGATATAATTTCTAAAATTAGGGGACTCAAGTTTCCTGCTTTCTACTTTAATGTTTAAACTCTCTAACATGAGTTATACAATTGTGAAGGACAAAATAGTTGTCATCTGACTCAGAGGATGGAAGAAACTTCAACACACATTATCTGATCATTTGCCAGTTAGGAAGGGTGTGCCGCTCTTCACTGCTATCACAGATAAATTAAGGAACTCTTGATGAGTGGAGCCATTTCAAATGGTTTTAGAAACGAATCAGAGATGATGGGCTAGACAGCATGCATTCTAAACTTGTTTTCCATACAATTTGAGCTTCTTAAACCACTAAAATTTATTAAATCCATACGCAGCACAGAAGCTGCCCTAGGTCATTTATCAGGTCTGTTATCTAAAAGGCAAATAACTGGATGCTGCACTATAGGTAGGCCTAGATGCCCTGGTTGCACACAGAAATGGCTGTTTTCAGTAGAATGCAAGGCTCTATTTCCCTTTAATTATAAGAATTAAAACAATACTTATCATCATACAGTTTGACATTACTGCCAATAAGTATAATATTTATTAAACATATCTTCACTTATTTTGTTACATAGTGTGCAACAAATTGCAATAATCTGCATCCACAAATTATATGCAGAGTATGAAGAAACTATTCATCAGATAGTGTAATCTTTCCATTTATAACTTTACAAGGAAGAACTAGCAAATCAGAACTTAAATAGAACATCTCACTACATTTTATGCATAGAAAGTAACAGACACTGGTTGTGCTGTTTGATACGAAGTGGCTGAACTTCATCTTCAGAAGACTAAACCCGACATTTAAACATGCTCATATAAACATCAAAACAAAATATATTTTAACCAACCATGGGAAACAGTCTCATATCAGGAAAGCAACAAAGATTACACACATTATTTTATAAATCAGCACACAAAGGTTTAAAACAGTTCTGAATATGAAGTTAGCTGTCTGAGTCAAGGGAACAACAACAAAAAAAAAAAAAAGTCCATATTGACCATTTACAATCTGACCTTTGTAGAGATGGTAAGAGTCTGTTGTGTGCAGCTACATACAGTACAATTCAGGCAATTTTGTTTTGAACTTGGGTTCAGATTGCAAATTCATTGCTTTGAGAAAAGGATGGAGGTCAATTTTAGCAGCAACCTCCACCTGACTGCTTGACTGGGGTGCTCTGAATTTTTACATTGAACTTCTCTCTGCCACCAGCTGTTGCTCCAGGTCCCTGCTTTTAATCTCAGCTGCTATCATCATAAAAGACTGTGATACATTTGTTGTGTTCTTAGCACTGGTTTCTAAAAATGGAATTCCAAAGAAATTAGCAAATTCCTTTGCTTTTGTGTAGTCTACTAGTTTCTTTGTGGTCAGATCACATGGATTCCCTACCAACAACTTGTTGACATTTTCACTGGCATAATGATCTATTTCCTGCAGCCACTGTTTAACATTATTGAAGGACTCCTGATCTGTCACATCATACACAACCATGATGCCATGGGCTCCTCTGTAATAACTGGAGGTGATTGTTGGGAATCTTTCTTAGCCTGCTGTGTCCCATATTTGAAGCTTGATTGCTTTCCCATCTATAGTTCTTATTTTGAAATCCTCACCAATTGTGCTGATGTAGCTTTCTGTATATGTATCATCTGCAAACCTAAAAAGGAGACAAGACTTTCCAACCCCAGAGTCGCCAATCAGAAGTAACTTGAATTAATAATCATATTTGGGATTCATGCTGGACATGGTCATTGCAGCTGTCACTGCTACCACTGCCACCCTTACGTCATCCCTCACTCCACTCCTTTAGAGCACAATCAGCAGCTGCCACTACCCAGCTATTGCTTCCACCCAAAAATCCCATTTATTAATTCTTGGTATAATTTCCTGAGATTTAGGACTTCTGTTAAGGAAGTTGCTGCCTGCATCTGTATCTTGGAGTGTCAACCCTATGTTTTCTTCTAGAAGTTGCAAAGTTCTGGTCCAATTCCTAGATCTTTGATCCATTTGGAGTTGAATTTTGTGCAGGGTGAGAAATAGGGATTTTTGTCTCATTCTTCTTCATATGGATAATCAGTTTTCTCAGCACCATTTGTTAAAAAGGCTGTCTTTTCTCCATGTGTGTTTTTAGTGCCATTGTCAAGAATCAGATGAATTTTATTTTATTTTTGATTGACACATGATAGTACCTATTTATGGGGTACAATATGATATGCAATGCATGTATACATTGCATAATGATCAAATCAGGGTAATTAGCATATCTGTCACCTTAAACATTTATCATTTCTTTGTGGTAAGAACACTCAAAATTATTTCTGGCTTTTATCACCCTACTATGCAAAAAGAAACACCAGAACTTATTTTTCTAACTGAAATTTTGTATACATTTCTCATTCCAATTTTCATTTTCTTCTATTATGGGCTTTGGGGGTGAGCAGGAATTTAAGAAGAGCTTATTGACAATGGGCCAACTGACAGGAATGAAATTGAAATGAAAGAGAGGAATTTGTACATCATTCAACTGCATTGGCATCCCCAGTCTTCTACCCAAGGAATTCTTTTAGGGTGGAACTTGACTGCCAAAAGATTTCATTCATTCCAGGTTTTCTAGAGAATAAAGGAGAAAAGGTATATAGTTCTTGTCTTCAAGAAATTATAAGTCTAATGATTAAGACCAAGAGAGAAATGGATGATTTCAATATAGCATGGTAAATACCAGGAACCATGCATTAGAGAAGGTTGCCATAGAAATAGAAAGGTATGTGGTTGGACTTGAGGTTCAGAATAGATTTGTGGGGAGGCAGTGGCTGAGCTAAATTAACTGAATCTTGGTTGTGCTGTGACTGTGAGTCTCCCCTTTGCTATTAGAATTGCTGATAGAGCAGGACGTGGTGGCGCACACCTGTAATCGCAGCAGCTAGGGAGGTTGAGGCAGAAGGATCATGAGTTCAAAGTCAGCCTCAGCAATGGTGAGGAGCTAAGCAACTCAGTGAGATTCTGTTTCTAAATAAAATATAAAATAGGGCTGGGGATGTGGCTCAGTGGTTGAGTACCCCCCAAGTTCACTCAACTATCAAGCCCCCGGTATGGAAAAAAAAAAATTTTCTGATAGAACTGCATGACCAGATTCTGAGATTCCGAGATTCCCTAGTTCAGGTGGGAGTATGGGCTGTTCATTATTCTACAGCTCTAAGGTTAAACTCGGTGTCTGAAACTTCTGGTTGTGCCATGACTGCTTGTGCTTGGAGCAGTTCTACTGTAAATTTCTCCGTAATAGCTCCCAGAAGTTCGGCGGGGTACATTTAACAAGCCCACTGCTGCACTCTATTCTTCCCATTCCTTTTTTTTTTTTTTTTTTTGCATATTGAGAATTCATGTATTTAATAACACAACAGAGTAATGCTACTAATATATAATCGTTTGAAAATTATATAAATTTCATTTTGTACATACTGATTACTGAACAAATGTTCCTTATCAGTTCTAGCCCAAGTGGTGATATGGAAATTTAGAATCCTTCCCTCCACTGGTTCTTTTCTTCTCAATACATGACTTCCAAGTTTATGAAGTTTGTGTATTCAAGCCAGTGAAAAAGGAAGAAACAAGGGAGACGCTCACCCTTGACCTTTACCTTGAATAAGAGTTGATAAATTTCAAATCAAAAACTAATCCTAGGTTAATATTTAAACATAAGCAGGGGTGTGTACTTACTTTCTAGTCACAACTCTGTACTATGGATATTCTTCCCGTTCTTACCCCACCCCCAATAGGATCAAAGGAAGACAAATGAGCCCTTCATCAGTCCTATGCTCCCGTCAAGAAAATAGAGGGAACCAGAGGAAGGGAATGAACTAGAGGAGAGAACTGGAAACTTGGCCAGAGAATTTCAGTTGTGGTTGAAAGCAATTTGTGACCCTGGATCAAGCTCCTCTGGCTGGGCATTTCCTTGGGATGTGGCCCTAAAAGCCCAGGCACATTAAAAACTTTGGTCACAGGCTGGGATTGTGGCTCAGTGGTAGAGTGCTCGCCTAGCATGGGCCAGACCCGGGTTCGATCCTCAGCACCACATAAAAATAAAGGCATTGTATTGTGTCCATCTACACCAAAAAATAAATATTAAAAAAAATTTTAAAAAAAAACTGTGGTCACTTCTTATAATAAAAAGACACAGAGTACCTGAAAATAGAAAATAGATACAAGTGCTACCAATCATGCTTAAATGCCTCATTGTCTCACTTCATCCTTGCACAATCCTCATAATCAAATAGGCAGTATTATCTTCTGTGGTAACTATTATTCCTACTTTAAAAATGGCATTCTTCCAGGAAGCCAAAACCCAGAGAGTTTAAATGACACCAGGGGTCAGGGGGCAGATCCAGGATCCAGATCCAGGCATGGCATGCTGCACTGTTATGTCTTCAATGACAGTCTTTAAAGTTACACAGTTGCTGAAAGGCAAAGGATTCAAAAAGAGATAAAGAATGCCAAGAACAAGCTTAGCCTGTTTTCTATTTTCCCCAACTAAGAAATTGACAAATAGGGATAGGGATACAGTTCAGTTATAGGGATGTAACTCTCAGTTGGTAGAGTACTTGCCTTGCATGCACAAGGACCTGGGTTCTAATCCCCAGAACCATACACACACACACACACAAAAAAAACAAAAAAAACAAGAACTAAGAAATAGACATATAAAAATGGTTTGTAAAACATATATGGCACTAGTGTAGGACTCCAGTTAATCAGAATATTGCTGATGTCTTGGTTAAGGCTTTCTTTATTTTGCAATCTAACTTCTAAAAGGGATGTCCAATCTCTTTCCATGTGAACAATCTTAACACTCAATGAAACAGTATTTGTTTTTACTTTTTTTTTTTTGCAAAAGTATTTTTAATTGATTTTTAAAAAAAATAAATGACAGTGGAATGGTGGAATGCATTACAATTCTTATTACACATATACAAGCACAATTTTTATGACAGTGGTAGAGCACTTGCCTAGCATGTGTGAAGTACTGAGTTTGATTCTCAGCACCACATATAAATAAATAAATATCCATTCACAACTAAACAATATTTTTAAAAAATATGAAACAGTATTTCTTAAACAACTGTTGCATTGATTGCTTCTCCAAAGCTCATCACGTTTGTAACTACATTTAGTTCTGAACACTACATTTACTCTGGACTGTAATACATGCATGTGTTGCAATATTGATCTTCATTTACAAATAAAAGAGATCTTAGAGACTTTGAGTTTTCTACATGTTATTTTTCTGTTTCTTCACAAATATTTCCTTTATCTTTTGCTCCCCACTTTCAGGATGGATGATGGCCGGCTCTTAGACTATCTTATGAATCATGATGAGCTGATGGAGGAAAAAGTAGCTTTCTACATTCGAGACATCATGGAGGCTCTGCAGTACCTTCACAACTGCCGGGTTGCACATTTGGACATAAAGGTAATAAGAAATAACAACCCTAACAGTGAAACAGCCAAGTGCAACTTACAAGTCATTACCCTTGAGGAATGCAAATTTGAATTCATTTCATTTACTTAGATTAGGATCATTTGGCTATTAAACAGAAATGAAGTTTTCTCACAACTTAGTGCATTATTCATGAATGAATGAGAACACACCAGAGGCTCAATGACATCTGAGGTGAGACAGGGGAAGAAGCTTTGACTTCCCAGGATAGCTTTATAGAAGGAAGCCCACAGTGTACCCTTCTCTTTCATGCTGCCCCCCAAAAATCCTCTGGCTAGGCACGGTGGCATATGCCTGTAATTCCAGCAGCTCAGGAGGCTGAGGCAGGAAGATCACAAGTTCAAAGCCAGCCTCAGCAACTTAGCGAGGCCTTAAGCAACTTAGTGAGACCCTGTCTCAAAAGACTGGGGATTTGGCTCAGTGTTTAAGTGCCCCTGGGTTCAACCCCTGGTTAAATAAATAAATAAATAAGCCCTATTCTCCAAAATAATAATTTCTTCCTTTTTTGAATCAATGCTGAAGCAAAGGGTAGTTAAGAGAATATGATATTTGGGGTTGGGACTGTAGTTTAGCAGCTCAAGAGCCTGAGGCAGGAGGATCCCAAGTTCAAAGCCAGCCTTAGCAACTTAGTGAGGCCCTAAGCAACTTAGCAAGTCCCAGTCTCAAAATAAAAAAAAAAATAAAAAATGGGCTGGGGATGTGGCTTGGTGCTTAAGCACCCCTGGATTCAATTTTCTGTACCCAAAACAAACAAACAAAAAACTCAGAGAACTCAACTTCCTTCTCCTCTCCCTGGATCCCTGCAGCCTGAAAACCTACTCATTGACCTACGGATTCCAGTGCCTCGGGTGAAGCTCATAGACTTGGAAGATGCTGTCCAGATCTCAGGCCACTTCCACATCCACCACCTGCTGGGGAACCCTGAGTTTGCTGCCCCAGAAGTGATCCAAGGCATCCCAGTCTCCCTGGGCACAGACATCTGGAGCATTGGGGTTTTGACATACGTCATGCTGAGTGGGGTCTCCCCCTTCTTAGATGAGAGCAAAGAGGAGACATGTATCAACGTATGCAGGGTAGACTTCAGCTTCCCCCACGAATACTTCTGTGGTGTGAGCAATGCTGCCAGAGATTTCATCAATGTGATCCTACAGGAGGACTTTCGGAGGCGACCCACAGCAGCCACTTGCCTGCAGCATCCCTGGCTGCAGCCCCACAATGGCAGCTACTCCAAGATCCCCCTGGACACCTCTCGCCTGGCATGCTTCATAGAACGCCGCAAGCACCAGAATGATGTGCGTCCTATTCCCAATGTCAAGAGCTACATCGTCAACCGGGTGAACCAAGGGACATAGCCATCTCCCAGCCCCAGAGGTTTCACATAGAAGTGCGGTGTGAACCAAAGCAAGACTGAACATGTCTGTACATAATTCTGTTTGTGATTTCACCCCATGCAGTTCTCTGAATTGAGAGATGTCCTCTTAAATCTCATCAGTGGTTATTCAGGGTTTGAGCAGCAGTAAAAGTCACCCTAAATCCAGGGACTTTCCAGAAGGTCATCCTGAAAAAAAATAAAGATGCAAAGAGTTGCAGAAAGTATTAAAAGAAAGGGCAAGAAGAACAAGAATATTAGCAGCTATAAATTTTTAATTGTACATTCCAAAAATGAGTGGCTAAGTGGGCAAACCTTAAGCTCAGAAGGGTGAGTGTTATAGGTTTCTGACTTTGCTGAAAATTTACACACAAAAAAAATCTATTTAACAGAAATGTCATATATGTCAACTATTCTGGTTTAAATGACTTAGATATAGTTTCTTAATAGGATACATATACACATACAATATAATAGATCCCATTCAGGTTTCAGAGTTTTATAATATAGAGTTATATATGAAATCAATCATAAGTAACTTTAAGTGCTCCAGTTAAGACAATAATTTATTTACCGAAGCATTACATTGTTTTGACTAAGCACAATTAGATGACAAGTTTTTTAGAGCATTTTATAAATCTTGTATAGAAATCTTTTACCAGAACCTGTGCATATAGAGAAAGCAATGTTACCCTTTTGCAATCTGTGAATGAGAAGATTTTTTTTCCTCTCAATCATGAGTTATTTGATTAAGATAGGTTCTGTATATGAAATGCTACCCCTGAGTTTACTGGAGGCTCAGAGTTCACCTGGCAAGAAAGCCTGCCAGGAAACAAGCCCAAATCCAGTAAGAGTTGTGGGGTTATTTTTATGTCTACACCTGGCTTGAAATAGGTAAACCAATACCACAGGTTCATACAGAAACCTTTCTACAGTCCAATGAACAAGGTACCAATACTTTCTGATTTCTTCTACAACTGTAGAAAACAGTCTTCAGAAAGTTGGCTTGTTTTATTTCTAACCCCTTTGGAAGCTAAGGGGTGCTTACCAAAAGGAGGCAGCCATACAAGCCTTTTAAAGGCCTGGTCCTAAGTCCTTTATGAAGCCATGAAGCAAAACCTGATACATCACCTGAACAGAGCGTTGAGTTTTAACTGAGATTGCAATACCTATCACCACCTAGCCACCAATATTTCTCTGGACTAAAAGGACTAATTGTATTTTGAGGCCAATGCTGCTTTCTGGTGTATATTCTCCATACAAGATTATTAACTGCCCTTTTCCCTTCTGATGGGAAAACAAACTTGGGCATTTCATGGTTTTTGCTTTTTTTTGGGTGGGGGAGGGGATTGGTTTTTGTGTTTGTACATGATCCACTTCTTGTTTTCTGGAATGTGTTTTGAAAATTGGTTTTATTCAGATAAAATTCTAAAAAAAAAAAAATGTAATTCAAGTGTTTGTTCAAATCAGGTTAAATGGCATTTCTTCTCTCCTACTAATGGGATTGAGAAAATTAAAATCATGCCGCACCAAAGTGTAAGCAAAGTATCCACAGAGGGTCAATACAACTACAAAGCTAATTAGATGAAAAGGAAATGATGGAAACTAAGCCTGAACTTTAATCTATGAAGACACTTATTCCCACAGTGGAAACGTAGAATGAAAAATACTCATCTTTCTTTTCCATTGGTTTCAAAGTCAACTTACTCATCCACTCTCCACCTCATACCATCCAAGATTATAGACTTAAAAATCAGTAGAAAGTACAAGCAATAAGGCTAGATAGCACTTAATATTTTGGGGATTAACCAAATATATGGAAACTGACTCCGACTGTCTTGTTTCCTAGTTTTCAAATGGCCCTGGGTCACCCAGCCTCACCCCTCCCAGTGCTCCAACCCTGCCCAGTCTCCAGTGAAGCTGTTCTGTATGTACACACATGATCCTATATGATACAATATTTTAAAGTTTAAAATATGTTTACTAAAAGCCACTTTAATAAATATCTCTTCATTATGGGATGTAGCATAACAGAGGGAAGCCTGGTCCATAGGGATTATCATGGGATAGACTGCAGGATCTGAGCATTCCAAATATCCATAAAATGTGGCTTGGCCACTTCTTTCCACTGTGAATAACCTGAATAAACAGCTTCCTTCCGAGAGTCATTTAGAGTTGTTAGGAGAAGCTGAGTTTCTGCTGGAGAGGGGAGGGTCTAGGGGGTGCTCACACTGCTACAGGAGGGCAATATTGAAATCCTGTGGCAGAGCTGGGCAGGGTGGGCGGTCAACAGAATGTTAGAGCCAAAGCGTTCATATTCACTTTTACATCTGACATAAGATAATCCAGATGCGGGCTGTATGGAATCCGCCCCCAAGAACACATACTGGGAAAGACAGGAAAGGAGGGACATAGAAATGATAAGTAATGTGACTTTGTTAACTGGAGCAAAAGTACAATCATTAGAATATAATGAACTTGACAGAGGCCCTAAGAGAAAGGGAGTATATTTTATATAGTTTGATAACTGAAGAAAACTGATGGAGAGGCTCCCTAACTGCAAAGCTCCTGGTCCCTCCCAACAGAGATAAAATAATGGTCTTGTTTCAAGAATTCTCTATAGCAAAATAAGACAACCTGAAAATAAGACAACCCAGAAGATGAGGCTGGGAAATATAGTTTAGGTTGCTCTGTGGGCAACCATAGCAGGGGAGAAGGATCAGGACCTCTCTCTTGTACCTGTTTTGGCAGAGAGATTTATCACTTGGTAGCAGAGAAGAGGGGAGAAAAAAGAAAATAGTCCACTTTTATAAACATGGTAGTGCTTAGTAGGAGTGAATGTTCAGCTGAAAAATGAGAAAAACAAATGTTGGTTAAAGTCACAGGTGTCTTGCTTGGCTTACATTCCTGCATAGGGTTTACAGCTTTTTTTTTTTTTGTTTTATGTTGTAGGGGGTGGGATGCAGAATGAAGGAAAAGATCAGGGACAACCCATGGTCACTTGTAAGAAGTGTAATAATTTCCTACGTCTTTTACATTTGTTTCAAATTAAATAGATTTTTATCCACTTACAGCTGAATGTGGTAAAATTTTTAAGAAAAAAAAATTGTAATGTTGTCCTTCAGGTCTCTCCCAGCCATAAACAATCTAAGGGGGAGTGAAGGAGGCAGAGGAGAAAGCTGGCTTCGCTGCTTTGTGGTCCACAAAGCTTTTATAAATAGTAGTGCCTTTCAGAGGGGAGGATGGGAGATGAAGAAGTTCATTGCATTTAGATTTACTAATATTGCAGTATTTTTTCTTTATTTTAAAGTATGAAAACATCTGAATATAGGATGGGACCAGGAATTCTTGAGTTTCAACCTCAGCTATTCCAGATTCATCCTTTCTTACAGAAAGTCTTTGTTTTTGTTTTTTTCTGCCCCAAATATACCCATTGGTAAAATGGGAGTTAGAGGGGAATGAGGGAGAACATTAATCTCTTACAAATATTGAGAAATAACTATAGTTGGGACGTCTATAAAATACTTTGATTTTTTTAAAGTGCTACACACTGCCAGTGCTAAGAGTTTTATTGATAGTAACTTTGAACATTCCAGGTTTTCAATATTCATGTCTTTAGATACCATTTACAAACTCGTGAGGTTAAATCTTATAAATTGCTTTTAATTGGAAGTACTAGGTGCTCTTTGTCTAAATGTGATTTGGTCTTACCATATAGTTTTGATCATTTAAGAGCTTATCGACAGAAAAGGGTTAGGAGAGCTGATGAAGTCTTATGTCCACACAGTTTTATCCAATATTTCTTATGGCAGACATGAAGAATAAGATGCCCTTTAAAGCTACTGTTATCTTCTCTTCTCAAAGTTTATGCTCTGGAAAAATGGACAGAAAAGAACCCAAATAGTCACTTTCCTCACTGGGAGGGCAGAAGTGGAATAGAATATCTCCCTATAACAATTCATTTCTTCAAAGTCTCAAAAGAATACATCAGAAGCAGCAAATTAAATGTGCAGGTATAGAAATGAATTGGACTGTGGGTTCTTGGAGGAAATGCTTTGTATCTATTTTTTAAATGGTCAGGTTTTTTTTCAGGAGTAGCATATTTGTTGTTCCAAAGCCTCCATAATTTAGTTCCTGTGAGTTAGTCATTACTTTTTCTTGTCTATGTAGAAGAGCATGGAAATTCAGTTTTGTGAGAATACAAGGGAGCAAATATGATGTAAATGAAATGGTGGTTATTTCTGTGCATTAACTAAAAATTTGTCCCATGCATTTGATAGAGGAGGAAATATTTTGAACTGAAAGGGTCTCTTAGTAGGGCAAAAGTGCAAACTCACCACATCCTTAATCTGGGTAGCCCATGAATTGTACTGGATGAGTTTTTTGGGAATGTAGACCTTATTCCTTTCTCTTCTGGGTAGCATCCCTTTGGAGTCTGGGTTTGGCAATCACATCGTATGAACTTTCAATGAATTTATTTGTAAAATTGCACCATGATATTTCTTTGCTATTTAAAATGTAGGGCTCTTTGGGAAAGAATGATTAGACCCAGGGTAGGCTGAGGGAAGACAGAACTCACACGTGCTCCATCAAGAAAAAGGAAGCTGCTTGGTTAATATTTATTTTCTAAAAACAATAAGGCTCACAAATATTTCATTAATTCTAGAGGGGTAAAAAGGGCTGAAATTTGTCAATAGCACTAGATATTTTTCATTTGAAATATTACTTACATGGAAAACCTATACAGATATAGTAGAATATAGAAAATCATAAGGCCATGTTTTTAATGAAAGGCATTTCTTCCTCATTTTCATTATATATAGAAGTTAGAGGAGAGAAATAAAACGCTCTAAGACTATGTTTCATCTTTAAGATATACTTATAGAAAATCTGAAGTTAATTCTCACAGGGTATTATGTTTTCCCATCAACCTGTTTGAGAAATTCTAAAATGTTGTTGGATTTAGTTTTTATTAAAATGATG